CTCCACATTAATGTCCAGCAACTTTTGCAGCTGATACAACATGATTTGCATGACATCATTGGTGTTCACGTAAAATTCGACCGGCTGTTGGGCAGTGTTATAGTTGTAGCATGCCTCGGCGGGCGGATTGGCAATGATGATGCCACCCCATTTGGGCGAAATGAACGAGTCCACCTTCTGGCGTGTGGCCTGTTTATTTTGACGATTATAAATGTGCACGGGCGCAATGTCACACGGCGTTATATAAACCACCAAATTAATTGCCGGCTTAGCCGTTATGCCAACGCCAAGATTCTTTTCAATCGATGTAATTATGTGCGGCAAATCGGCCTCGCCCAAAGCGTAATGCCGTCCAAGGTTTGATGCGTCGCGCACCTGTTTCAAATCTGCTTCGAAAGGCAGCTGATATTTCCATTGTGTGGTGAGCGTGTAGTTGGATATTTGTGACACCTCCTTAAGGAAGGGCGCAATGTAGGCTAACAAGTTGTACATGGTAGTAATTGTTAATAAATTAAGGATAATTTTTAATCAAGTAAGATTTCGTGGAAAATAATGACACATACTTTCCACAGCCATGCGCACATTCCACTTGGCGTTCATTATGTCCGGACGTGGATTCAATATCGAAACCACGACATCGTACTCCGTCTGCGGCGCTTCACTCTTGATCGCTTCTCGGTGATTTGCGTTAAGTATCTGTTGCATGCGATGAGTTTGCAAAATAAGTGTATTTATGACCTGCTTAATGCGTGTGGAAGCTGAAATTAAACCAAAAAAAGATCAAATAATATAAAAGCATAACATTTGTAGACAAAACGTACAAGTATCGCTTCGTATCAGCGCGGAACGCTCTGACGTCAGCAAAACTTCTTCCTGCAATTTTGGCCATTCAATGAAGACAAAATCGCCAGCTTTAATTTCTTCCACCTTCAGCAATATATTCTCAAGAGCAGCAGGGGTTTTGGTTTGCAGCGCTTTCTCAAATGGCACAATTTGCACAAATTGTGGACGCCATAGCTCTATAATTAAGAAAATAACATAAGACTGACATTTGGCATTTATTACGGGTTTACGAACAAACCGTTATGGGCATAAGCTTCCGTCAGTTCTTTGACTAGTAGTTCACCACGTGACTTTTCAAACGTGTATATGGCAATCTTTGTGGCAATTTCTATCGGTTTATCGCTCAAACTCATGATGTCCGCTGATGGCAAGCTCACTCTGTCGTTAAGCGATTCAAAGAAAATTGTTTGTTGTTGTAATAAATATGCATAATTTGAAATTAATTTACCTGTACACTTCTGTTGTCTTCCACCACATGGGTACACCAACAATAATGACCACTATCATGAAGGCCATAGAGGCAAAAAGACGGTATTTATCTGAAAAAATTTTAAAAAATGTTAACTAACAAATTAGTTTGTTATAGTAACAGTGACGTAACGTTATAATTTATATACCGAAAAGATCTTGTCCAACTTAGGATTTTTTCCTTAAATTCTTACATCTTTTCAATTTATTCATCGAAGCATTAAGGCCAAGGAATGCTAGTCGCAGGTTGTCTCTGAAGCCACAAAAAAGAACAACAACAAACCTACGTATGTATTCCATATTGAGTCCACAATTGGGATATTCTAAGCTTCAACGGATATTATCTTCAAGTGTGGCACACAGCCGAAAACATTATGGCTTCTTGCGGCTGGTTTTTTGCTGCCTTAGCGACGTTATTCCACAAATAATTTGGAGTAATGCTGCCGAGTTGACAGATGTTGCCCAGTTAAAAATTCGAGTCCGAAGACGTAGTCTCGTTTAAAGTAAGATCAATTGGTCTGCTACTCGCGTTTGACTCATTAATATATTGGCAACCGAAGTTTATCATTCCGTTTCTGCCGCCACAACAACAACATTCCGTTTCTACGACACTCGGGTCTAAGTAACTGGAAATTACCCGCATTTTTATCCGACCAAGAACTATCAACTAGACACCATTTCTCGAAATTACTTCACCAATGTGTTTTCCGCTACTACAACAACAACTACTACTACTACTACTTCGTAACACACCAATTTAAAATTAATTGTCAAGCAAATAACTGTTCTCATTAAACTCGAGTATAACTAACCAAAAGGTCAAGTACGTTATTCAATCAAGCACTGCACTTATTTTAAACACACTTATAATTTTTTCACCGCAGAAACAAAATTACAAAAATTATGCTACAACAAATTAATAAATCTCGTTTGTCTTCATTTATACCATGCATACTTCGTTATTTGGAACAACTAATACATATTTATTTCTTTTTTTTCTGTTTTAAATAATTATACTTCAACAAAATAATTAATAGGAGGTATAAACTGTGTTTTCCTTGCTTCATTATAATTTTCGTGTACCGTTATCCGGTTGCCTTTTTTGAATGTGACTCAGCACACAAAAAATGTGTAGTAAACTAAAATATAATTACAGTTATCATATTGATAACACTTAAGATTAAATTAATTTGTGCGTCGTGCTGCTAAAAGAGACGTGGATGCTTAGCACGCACTATTCTTTATAACTGCAAGAAATCACATGGACCGGCCCGCGTTCCAGTGGCGTATTACGCGACACGTATTTGGTGAATTTGGTCGTGCCTTCACAACGATATACAATATTAAGCGCATTATCCACTGGTGTAATTGTTAAAAGTACGGAATCGTCGTCTTCCTCGTCGAAGTCAATATCATCAATATCTGAGTCTTCATTTCGTTGCTTCTGTAGCGGTTCATCTGCTTCCGGTGAGAGATAGGTAACAATAGCAGCGCCTTCACTGGCGTTAAGGTAATAAATTAGGTCCAATGTGTTCTCCTCACATATGGCGCCGTCACCGAGAACAGTGTAGTTGCCGTGTGACCAACGTTGTATTTGCAGATTATATGTGGGATTAATAGCGTTCGGTCCAGCCAAGTCCAGATCGGTGTAGTCACGTAGTAAGGCAAAGATTTCGGTACTTGAAAATAGTGAAATCAAATGAGATATAGATTTGCTGGCGGTATCAAGTTCAAGCACTTCATAATTATGCGCATTTGCTGGTCCTTCCAGACGCCATTTCAAGGTGTCGTCGTGCAACAATTGATCTAAGGCTTGTTCGAAAATTTCACGCCTCAAAAATTCGTATAAGCAAATCTCGGAATTGTCTTCGATGCGTTTTTGTATGCTTTTTTTGGTTTGAGCTTTTAAGTACACCTCGTTTAACAGTTCACTTATATTAATCGAAAGCTTATTTACTGGTGATGTGAATTCTTGTTTTCCAAATGGGCGCATTATGTCAGAGATCAAGTCATCATTAGACGCGCCATGAAACCAACCATTTATGGTCAGACGTGGATAGTCGAATGATGTCACTTCGCCAACTTGATGAAATGAGCGTGAGCCAACTTTGAAAAAGGCAAATTGGTTGTTTTTAGGTGATATTTTTCTTTTAACGGGAAACAATGGGAAGCAATGATCATCACTGTTGAAAAGCTCTAAACAACCTCCTTGTTCTTCACGCCACTGTTCCATATTTTCCCAAGGTGACAGATAGTATATGAAAGCTATTTGCCGATCTTTTAGTAGGTCATCGTGTACCAATAGGTAGTCTCCGCAGGTGTACATAGAGCAAGAAGCAGACACATAATCTAATTTTAAGCCTGTCAATGCCTCTAACCAGGGTCTCACGGTGCGTCGCAGCATTTGTAGGAAACTTGTTAATAATTTACAAGTGGCCATATTGGACAAGTCTGCACTTTGATAAAATTCATACAAATCCATTTGCTTGCGAGACCATTGAACTTTTTGCACCATTTCATCGACAAGTTGTCGACATGTAATTTTATTTTGTAGTAGATCTGGTAGCAGGCAAACTTGAAAAGGATCTCTAAAAACTTTTACATCCGTTGCCGTATCGTGAAAGTCTTGTTTCTCTTGGGAACACCATTCTGCTTTTAGTTGCTCTGTAAATGACGGTGTTGTGTATGAGTGATTGAGTGTTAAGTCAGCTATGATGTTTGCTTCTTTGCTAAGCCTTGCAACTTTGCATTTCGGTTCACCGTTAGCAGATCCTGTAGTATAACCATCATTTTTGATGCCAGCAACTGCAAATGCAATACAATGAATTTTATTGTATTAACTAGAAAACTACAAATCTCATACCTTATCAAGAACTATGATTTTCTTAAAAATATTTTTCTTTACGTTGTTGCTTGTAACAGCTTCTTAATAAAAATAACTGAGAACACTGCAAACTTTCAAAATGTGTCAAATATTATGTCTTTTTTTTTCATAAAACTCCCGTACATTTTCATGTAAATAAAAGACATGCCTAATGGCCTGTCTGCCTCACCCTGCACATGGGAGAATTCTAACTAATACAAATTCACAACAGCTTACCTTCTCCATCAGCAATATCCTCACTCGTAACTTTTGCCGTAGACTTTTCCATTTTTTGGGTTTACTGGTAATACACTACTTTTATTTAACAATATTCACAAAATAAAACAAATTGTTATTTCTTGAATAATGTGAAAATATATTTTTCACACCTGACGGCAAATGCCGTATGTCAAACAATGACAGGGATGCAAAACCTTCAAATGTGTCAATGTTGCCATCGTTATTTAAAATATATATTTTTTTATAGAAATAGTGTAATAATAATTATTATTGAAATAATATAATATAATATACTTTTATATATAAAATTTTTATTAACATGTGTTGATCTCGTCAGTTTTAAACAACAACTATAAAATATATATATATATATATAAATAACAAAATTGTTTCAGAGTCGCGTTGTGATATTTTAAACTTCACATCACTAATGCCCGAATAAATGAGCTTTTTTTATGCCAAATTCGTATATATTCCCTTAAATTATCCACAGGATGTATTGTATGTATCCGGTTATTTGCGAACCCTTCAGTTGTAAGAGCTTTCAAAGTTTTATATACATGTCCATATATTAAACAAAATACAATTTGTTTTCATAAATAACAAGTTTGTATTAAAACCTTAAAAATTAACAAAAATCGTAATGCAACGTCACGATTTTGCAAGAATCGTGGAAAATGCGATAAACAAAACCTCGGCGGTTTTAAATACCTTCATTAATACAATTTGAAATTTTAAAAACCAACGACTAGTAGTTGAATACAAAATGAAATTGAATTAGAAATTAAAGTTAGTAGTTAGTTTATAGTCAAACTATATTTCGGCAATATTTTCCATAGACCTCGAATTATTAGAAATCGGTGCTACATCTTCTTTACTTAGCGCCAACTGATATGCAACTTCAAACGCCTCACCCAATGTCAAAATTATTTCGTGTGATAATTCCTGAAATAAATAATAATAATATAGTATAAATGTATATTTCATTATGAACGAGTATTGTACCAAATTATCCACCATAAAAACATGGCAGTAATGCATATCTTCTTCTTTAGTAATATAAGCAAAATACCGCAAGTCTTCGGCATCCTGACACACACAATTGATATTTTCGATATCGTGCGTGCAAATGGTGGACTAGAAATATATGTGATTAGTGATTTTTGTTCAAAGTATACGTATAATGTTCGAAATTTTACGCTATTGTCAGTGTTTAAAAACTTTACACCACCACAAGACACAGCAAGACCAACTTTTAGACGCGTATCCTGATTAGACTCTTTGAGCATTTTGGTTAAATTATTGCAATCCTTCACTAAGTTCGATTCCCTCTCCTTGACCACTGGCAGTGGAGTGGCATTTCGCTTAAATTTTAATATGGATTTTCGTGTGGAAGTAGTACCGTGCAATTCACGTATAACTGTGGACCCCAGATACTTTAAAAAGAGCACAAGTTGTTTTAAATTCGTTTGTACAGTTAAATCATATGCGACATACATATACTGTGTAGAGTATTTGTCCGAATATAAGCGTGTTTGGCGAGTGGCACCAATTGTTTGCACAATCGTCGTTACTACCCAAACACAAAGCTGCTGGCCTACGTATTTGCAATGACTCCTTATTCAAGGTGCTGGTTTTATTGAGTTCGCTTAATTTTTCCGACTGTTTATTAACCTCATTGCCAATACTTTCTAGTATGGTATCAATCTCTGCCCACACTTGTGCAGCATTGAAATTTTCGGCATCAACCGTTTTTTGCGACTGAGCAATGTTTCTTTTTGGTGGTAGTGGCTTTATTGAGCGTACCAAACTCGGTGAGCGTAGGCCACTAGATGCGCGACGAACGGAAAAGCCATCTTCTTTACTATCCATCGCCAAATTCAAAGTAGAACCTTTAAAAAGTCCTATATTGTGAAGAAATGAAATAAGGTTTAATTTTACAGTTAGTAGCATATTTCGCAGAAATGTATTTAAACTAACCAGCAAAAGGTGCATCGCCCACAAACTCCTCCACACAATCCGATACACGAGAACTCAGCGGAGAATCAGGTAGCTCAAATTGATTTATTGCGTCCACAATGAAGGATTCCAAATCTGGGTGCGGTTGTTGTTTCAGGCCCAATGATTTACGCTTGCTATGAGTGCTGGTAGGTCTCATAAATTCGAGTATTGTATGCTCCGCCTGAGAAACCGTTGGTGGCGGAAAATCGGGTGTGGGCGAGTGTTTCTTCTCGTTAATATTATGGCAATTATTGTTCGCATCTTTCACGGGCGATACTTTACATGGCTGTGGTGGTGGGCTTTGGTCCTGTGGTCTGTAATATACACTCGAGTATGTGAGTACTCGTGTAAAATACAAAAAAAAAAAAAAACACCTTGATAAGTGATGTTATTTTACTTACTTTTGCGGCATGGTTGGTGATAACGATTCCGCCGCATTCGTGCAATTAATACTTGAATTTGATGTTGTTAAAATGTGATTAATATTGGCATAGTCATTGGTTCTTATGGAACGTGGGCTTGGTATGGGTTTTTTCGGTGGTGTAGTGTTATTCGAGGAGCAACAATTTTTGTTCAAATTAGTCACGTTTACAAACCCATCGACAGAACGCTGACGCTGTGTAGACCAGTACGTGCTTGAAGAATGCAACTTCTGCAAATTAGCTGCCCTTGCAACATTTGGTGAGGAGTGTGTAAAAGAATTGGGGTCAGTCATCTCTACATACTCATCCACGCAACGAGTACGGGTGTTGGCGTTAATATCGCCTAATATGAATACTTTTAAAATAAGTGTCAAGAAATATTTGCAATGAAAAGACATACGTTTCGTATTATGCACGTGGAGATTATGCACTGAACCGGTTCTGGCCAAAGAAACATGTTCGTATGCTTTGTGTGGCATTTGTGCACGACCACCATACCTACTCGGACTACTTGGACTACGTGTGCTAGGCTGATTATTAAGCACACTCCACAGAGAACGCTGTTTCTCTACGGGTGAAAATAGCGGTAGAACATTGCGACCATCTTGGCAAAATGGAGGCGCAATCCCTGTATGAGAGTTTTGCCAAAGAATCGGTTTCATTGGTAAATAATTCGAATGAGGCTTGCTGGTCTGTTCTAAAGAACTCATCGAAACAGAAAGTCTATTTGGTTTCACACTATAAGAGAATATAATATAACATCTCGTAAGCAGTGTTGATTTTTGTTTCTTTCATTACATACATTCATTCGTGGATAAATGTACAATATGAGATAAATAAAACTATTATATATGTGGTTCGTTTACCACGTGTGGGAGTAAGCTTTAAGCCGAGTAACGCTTTGTAACGTGAATATATAAACATACTTTAAATGTGTAAAGTACACATCTAGATTATACGCATAAGTTTAGAAATTATTAGCAGGATGAGAAGAAACGATGAAATGGTTTACAAAATTGCACTGCTACAACTATAATAATGTATATAATTTTGTAAAGGCAGAGTTGTAAGAATTTTCGCAGCAATTTTCACTAAAAGTTTATGACAGGCCCTTACGAATGGCAGAGTTTTTGTTAGACAGATTTGACCAATTTGTTTGTGGTTTTTGATTATAACGCAACAGGTGGATTAGATTGAATGAAATGTGTGAATCACCAAGCAACGAAACGGAAATGGGTTGATGCAATATATATATATATCTATATATATAAATATGTATGTACATTTAATAATTGCAGATGATTTTAGTTAAACAGTAATGCTTAATATATTTTTACAATGCTAGACACATACAGAACTTTGGTTAGTTTTAAACAAATGCTTGCCATTTATATGCATGATAGGGTAGTTATAAGTAGGTATTATGTATATGTATGTAAATAATAAAAATAATAATAATAATAATAACAGTATAAAGCTTCGCTAATCACAATAGTTAATATCATACTAATATTGATTCTAGTGCTAGGTTGCATCTTAAGCGATAGGCTACGAGTAGCTGTTTAATGACAAGTCTGTATCAGGTTTATGATAATGATCGTGGACAATGGGTGCGTCAAATGGAGCATTCTGAGTGTGAATTGCAATACACAAATGAGCCATTCATTCGATCCCAGTCTTACGTCTTTGGCATCAAAAATTCCTTGTGTGCAATAGCACTGACTTTTGCGTCGTTTTGCCCTCGTTCGAAGGCTATATTTGGCACTGGCGAGATGGAGCTGTCACTGCGCTCATGATCGTCTCCGTCGCTGAGCTCGTTTATTGGCTTAAAATGGGTACCATTCGAGGCGTCTTTATAAAAATCTAACCAAAAATCAGCAATTTTGTTTCTTCAATAAACAAGGAATAAACTTGGTCCACAAAAAATTACCTTTTATTGCGCATACAATTTCGTAAGTGACATGTGGTGGATAGTCCTTGAGCAAATCTAGTGCTGTATGACCTGAGCCATCGGTAGCATTTGGATTAACACCGGCTTGTAGCAGCACATTGACCACAGCTTTTTTACCGCAAAGTGCAGCCTCATGCAAGGCCGTACCCGAGTTTGTCATAATGTTGACATCGACACCAGCAGCTAAGAGCGCTTCGACAACTTTTTTATGGCCATTACGACTAGCTAAATGCAAGCAAGTATGTGTAAATAAATGTGTCGATGGTGAAATCGTGTACGGTGTAGATTCAATGGTTGAAGTTGTAGGAGTTTTGCTGCCAGATGAACGATATGGTGCTAACAATTCGGGATGTGTGCGTATTAATGTTTGTACCGCCTGCAAACGGCCGAATTGTGCGGCAAGATCTAATGCTGTTTGAAAACTATTGTTGCGAACTGTTGGATCAGCACCATAGGCAAGTAAAATGGCTAGAACGGTGTTATGTCCATGTTGTGCGGCACAGTGCAATGCTGTTTCATTGTCGATAGTCTGAATATTGTAGACAGTTATATAGTGTTGGTTTATTAATATGTGTATTTTAAGTATAATAGAATAATATCTACTAACCTGTGCATTTGGATTAGCTGCTTTTGGTGTGTGAAGCAAGAGTTGTTTTACAATCTCGTCATGACCTGCCCAAGCAGCCAAATACAGAGGTGTTGAACCGCGTATATCGGGCATATCAGGGGCAGCATTATGGGCCAATAAAAGGCGTACGATATTGCCATGACCATTTAAGCAAGCATGATGAAGTGGCGTGTAGCCATTAACATCTTGGCTATTGATGCATGGGCTACGCCGAAAACTAAATAATTATAAGATAAGTTAATAGCAATCACATATGCAATGAAGTTTGTTTATTTCAAAAAACCTTGAGAAAGGCCCGCTGTTACGTTTCGAAATCTGCTCAAGTATTTTGCCTACAACAGCAATATTTCCGATGCGTGCCGCTTCCAAGAGTTCTTGATCTTTGCCCATTGCAACACTCTGCGAAGTTGATGGAGATTACGAATATTGTAGTTTGCTAAAAACAAATTAAAATAATTACAAGTTATGACTAATCACGCATGTAAGATGGTTATCGTTCTAGTTATCTTATATCTTTAGTTACTAGCGCGAACTTATATTTTCTTTCGAGAAAAATATGCACATGATTTACTAATTTTTCACATATTTCAAATGTATGTATTGATTAAAGAAGTGATCTAATGTAGTTAATTAGAAAATAGCTTTGTGCTCTTATCTATGCTGAGGTTTGTTTACTTTATGTTCAAGGTCTTTGCAGAACGCTCAAAGTTATTTTAATCATATTCTTATACACATTCATCACTTCATTTTAAATATTAAAAATTTTAATTTTTCATTTAATTACCAATTAAGAACACGCATTCATATTTCTCACATTATTTGCACGTAATTCCATTAATGAAAACTAAATTTCTCTGCCCAAAAACTATTAGTGCAATTTTTGGGCCGTTCTAATTTCTAAACCACTTGCAGAGTTACCCACTCCACAATGCTATAATATTATTTTAACATAAAACATGCCAAAAATAAATGGCAACCTATTTGAAAGGAAAATCGTCGTGGAATGAATTCAGCGCAATAGCACTCAAGGGTTGCCAATACAACGTGATGCATTTTTTAATATAAGAGAAAATTTATAATATTCAATATACCATACATTTAAAACTTACCGATCCAAAGTGAATACGTATGTAAGTGTTTCTAATTGTTTGAAATATTTATATATATTTCTAAAGTATTTATTTATTAAAAAAAATAAAACCTGTTTTTAATTGCGTACACCTGAGAATATTTAGCTTTTCCACACACCCTGGAAGAGTGCTTTTGACATCTTTAAATTTCTAAACATTTCAAGAGCTATTTTTCACCCTTGCCACAGAGTTGGCAGCTTCTTATGTTTCTAATTGGTGTCTGCTGAATTCCGATTGAAAATGAATTCAGCAAATTTGAAAACAATCGGCCGCAAACTGTATTCAATTTCAACTTGAAAAGAAGCATCTGCTAAATAAGTTTGTAATTTTTGTATATTTCAACCGATTTTCTAAAGTATATAAAATAAGATGAGTATCTGTAAGGGCTATGAAAAATAATAAGCTTCATAATTTGTTTAAATAGTTTCATAATTGCAGCGTTGCAGGAAGCCAAATCCGCGGGCTCATCCAACTCCCAATACCGAAGATCCTCGCGTCGCAACCGTCCTGAGGATTTGGAGAAGGAGGTAGAGCTGATAATGTCCCAAGAAGACGATAGCGACATAGAAATGGATATTGCTAAGGAAAATGAAGTTCCGGTAACACCAAGGTCAAACAACCATACTGAACAAATTTTATCGCTCGGCGAAATAAAAACTAATGCGCATACTCCTAGACGTAGTACACGCAAAAGCGTTAAACCCGTACAAGAATATGAAGAAATTGTGACTTGTAAACGTCAGCTGAGATCGACATCAAAACTGGGAGAAGAAATTAAGGACGATAAGGAAGGGGAGGCAACTAATACTGAAGAGCCACAGCCAAGATGGACACCCGCGAAGGTGGGTCGTGTGTCACAGAAGCGAAGTCGAAAGAGCCGTAAAACAGTTGGAGATAAAAATAAACCCAAGTTAATGAATCCAAATGAAAAGGAAAATCCCACGGAATCAGATAAAGCTGAAAATTTACAAAATGATAAGGTCATTCAATCAAAGGACGAAAATATTAATAAAGCAGATATTCAGGAGGAAAATGTCGCTAATATCGAAGAAACTGAAAAAGAAGTAATAACAAATAAGGAAGAGAAAGACATTACCAATATGGAATGCATTACAAATAAGGAAGAAAAAAATATTAACAATACTGACATTACCAAATCTGAAGTTGAAGATGTTACAAACAAGAAAGAATGTGATGAAGAACATCATGATGCGGTCGTAATTAATATAAAAGATAACGATAATAAAAATAAAAATAATAACAGTAATGAAGAGAACGGGGAAGAAATTATCGTTCTGAATGAAAGTATTTTCCAAGAAAAAATAAATGAGAGTGTAATAGAAGTTAGAGAAGAAAAAAATCCAGATAACTTTGGAACTTACTTGAAAAGTAATAACTTGGATTTTTCCGATTTGGGACTTAATCCATTAACTGAAGAAAACGCTTTAAATGAAGATACACAATTGATAGAACAAAAGGATAAATCTAAAATTGTAGAAAGTGCCGACGCAGATATCCAAGTTCTTTCATACAATGATGATTATTCCAATGCCAGCGATTGCATTATGTTAAATACGAATGTAGCAGAGGATGAAGAGGAAGAAATGCAGCCGTTACAACTTTCCGATGATGAAAGTTCAACTTCACCACCACGTAAAACACCTCGCATTATTCTGACCACCGATGATGGAGTAGAGCAGAAATTAAATATAACCATTCCTCAGAATGATGGTTGTACACCGAAAAGATACTCTAAGACTGCAAAACGTATGCCTACACCATACAAAAAAATTACTGATATTTCAAGAACAGAAGATGACGGCAACGAAAAGTGGGAGGCTGATGAACCACCTATTACTGTAGAAATTTCCAGAATGGAACCAAAAGAAATTGTTTTGCGTAGCATTAGGAAGCGTTCATTTTCTGTATGCATTGGAGCCGCTGAAACAGATAGCAAACGCAAAAATGTTACATTTTACAGCCCTGCTAATCAGACTGTTATTTTGGAAGATGTGGACGTACGTATGATCCAGAGTGTAAAGAAAAACACCGACTTAAAAACGGCACCTACTGAAACTTGTAAGTGATATTATACATTGAAGTGCCAATTACACTACAAAATACTTTAATAACTTTCAGTTATAACCCAACGCCGTAAGCGTTCTATGTCCTTTGACGAGGCAATGATAAATAAGTCAAAATATCGAAGTAAGTTACAATTTATAGTAAAATATTTTTGTTGCTTTTTAAATACAAATATATTTTTCATATTTTCTAGCACAAACACCGAGTAAAATGGGTGTGACGCCACAAAAGGTCAAACCAACACGTACAAAATTACCAAATTTCGCAGCTATTCATCAGAAAAATTTCGAGAAAATGGAAAATTTAGTCGATCATGTGAATCGTAAAGCAGAACGGGCTAAAATACTTACGAATTCGGCCTCAAAGGATCGTATTGGTAAGTTGCCTAAAACTAGTAATTATTAAATATTTATATAAAATGGCGACTCTTTTCATTAGCTAGTGCACAAAAACCAATAAAAACACATCAAGCCACTAGCATGGCTACGAATCCGGATAAATCTAAAGCAGCGAAGCGTATTAACTTGCACACATCTGTGAATTCGACATTTTCAGGAATTAGTAACACATCTATGCATAAAACATTTGACACATCACACAAGGAACTTCACGATTCTAAGTTGCCTATACCACGTATAGGTGTTTGCAAACCATTGGTTGCAGCTGAAACAACACACAAAGAAAACCGTGAAGTAAAACTGCCAAATCCACGCTTGGGTATCATTAAGCCGCACACTATAACTGTTGTCAGCAACAGAAATAAGCCAGTGACGCCTGCCAAGAATGCACTGAAACCGACACAACCACGACAGGCCGCGCGACCAGCTTTCAACCTATCAACGGCACTTGAAACGCATGCCAACAATGTAAAATCGGCAAACGCGACCGCCGTCCAAATTACCACTGCCGCGGTGACGAAACCAAATGCCATGAACGCAAACACAAAATTCGCTCCAACAATGTCAGTTGATGAAAAAATGGCTACGCGTCGTCAACGTCATATGGATATGTTTAAGGGGCGTGCTGCCAACTCGCGCACCACTCCTGGCACAGCGGAAAAGAAATTCGGCCAACTTATAAGAGGTGTGCGTTCGAATCGTCGCTTTGAACTGCAAATGGCGCATCGCCAGAACATGGAACATTGAAGCATCAAACAAGTATATATTTTTTTTTTCATTTGCTTATACTGGTTTTCGTAGTTTTATATATTGTTTAGTGTATACTTCTCGAGCTCATTAGCCAATTTCCTTGTGAATTGATAAAAATATATTTATATGTTTGACATATTTGAAGTCAAAATGATTTGCATTAAATTTGAATGTTCAATACATACTTGTTGTTGTATGACTTTAAGAATTTATTTGTTTATTGTTATTTTGGTGGTCAACTGTCATGGAAGTCACTTAGCGGTAAGTCGTAAGAACAGGATGTTTCGACGAGGTTGTTGTTGTTGTTATAACGAGTATCAGTCCCCGTTGGGATGGTGGGGGTTATCAGTGTTGTCGTCGATGTCATCTAACGGGAGGCCCAGGAAACGCGCTGTTTCGACGGGGTCGGACCAAAGGGAAGGGGTGTTAGATGGGTGGGGTTGGTTGGGCATGCAAAGAGGTGGCCAGTGTCATGCGGAGACTCGTTGCATGCAGTTTCGACGAGGTCGGGCCCTGTGCCCACGACAGTCGGGTCTACGTAACCGGAACGGACCCGGTCAAGGACTGTCAACTCGGCTGAATTCTGTTGTTACAACAACAGCGGGGTCAGACTTTAAAGAAAGTGTGTTAAGTAAATGCTTTTTGCGAGACTAGCAAAGTGGTTCTTATTGTCATGTCGGGATGGTATGTCATGACCTGTTTTGGATAAGTAAGATTTCAATCTACTTCATGGATATTAAATGGAGTTGTTCAAGGGTCGTAGAAGTGGTTGTCGCAGGAAAAAATTCATTCTAGTCATTTTGGTATCACATTTCACCTACAGTTATGTGTGAAGTTTTCCGTTATCAGAGCAATCGTTGCAATTTAACGTATGGGATTGAAGATGAGGGGATTCTGTGGCTGTCTGATGAAGGCAGGCAACAGGACACTGGCATATTTCTAGCCGTACTTAAAGAGCATATATGAAGTTTTAAGCTATTCGCTGCACTGCTGGCTTACAGGCTACATTTAAAGTGTTTTAAAGAGAGCGCATCTCTGGTGGATAAGAGCACAAATACTCTACTTACACAATTTCTTTAACTAAAGAGCTTATTTGAAGGCTATTGTTGACTTAAATACTTTCTCTCAATTCGTTTGCACTCTCATTGAATCCGTCAAGCTCTTACGCAAGCATACAACTCTTCTCTCTTTGTCATTACTCTCAGCCACTCATTTATCCGCGCATGCGCACAATCCATCTGCACTCACAAAGTCAGCACGTGACTTTTGTTTACATTAAGCACAAACCCACAAAAGTAGGCGGTAAAAATGCAGCAACGACCGTGTCATCACGCAGCCTTTGTAGAATCTTAGCAAGCGGTCAGAATTTCTTGAAAGAAAAATGCAAATATTACATCAAATGCTCTGTGCGGAAAGCAGCGTTGCTTGGTAACCTACTTTTCATAGCACCGCTTTGCAATTTGGACCACTCACGGATGTCCTTCGCTTGCACACATCCTTCTTATACACCCACAAGGACTGCGGTGCGTTAAGCTTCGGTCTCGCTGCGAACC